CGACTTCTCTTCTCTTACTTTTTTTGGCTGAACTTTTTGATTATTTCCATTCAATTTGCCCGTTTTGCGTTTTCGGGCTTTCAACAAGTTGTAGCCTTGACAATATTGCTGCGAGTTTTTGGGGGGGAAGAAGGAAGGAAAATATGAACAGAAAACAAACAATTACCGCGGCAACAGGGCAAACTGGCAAATCCGAGGACTCCCCCATGCCAAAGAAGTGAAGGAAAAAATTGAACCTTCCCCTCGATGGGCCTTCAATTTATAATTTTTTTTTTTGGTTATTTTTTCGAATTTTGCAGCTGCCAAAACAGTCAAGTGTTTTGGTCTTTGTTGTTGGTGTTATTGCCTGTTTACCCTCCCTCGGCTAATCGAATTCGATTGCTTCACACTGATAAGAGCAGCTGCCATACCTCCTCTTTGCCCCCTTTTTGGAGATCCTCTGAGACCCTGACCCCTCTGATCCCTGATTCCTTACTCCTGCTTACACTTGAAACCTCTGAAAAGCCCGGACGGGATTTTATTGCGTTTCATGTTATTGTATTAGCCAAAGCATCCGCATCCGTGGCATATGCTTTAAATGTATATAACTCTCTCTTTTGTTGATTACCTGGAAAGGTTTTGGGAATAGCAGAATGGTATGGACTTGGGGTAGAGGATGTGTCCGGTGTAACTTATCAGTCAATAAATTTTCAATCAGTTACAACTTTACCTTAAAACTTTAAAACAAGATTTATTTATTTAATGGCATTATTGATATCTAATGATCTAGAACTAGATCTGATATATTTCGAAAAAGTTATAAATACTTTCTACCCCTAAGAAAGTCTTATGATTGAGTTTAAGTTACTTTTAAAAACGCTTTTTAGGATCGTAAAATGTTGTTAAAAACACTGAGCATTGGTTATATACATTCTTTATTTAACTTCTATAATCCTAAACACTTTTAATAGTACATTTCCATAGCTTAAATTCACCGAATAAGGTAACTCAAAGTCGAATCTTTTCAAACACTGACCCATTGAATTTAAATCTTTTGTTGAATTTGGCGTTTTGTTTGCTTCGCTGATTTCATCGCCGATTTTTATGTGCTCCGCGTTTATTATTCTTTACGTTTTTTTCGCGCCTCCTGTTAACCCCTTTATTCGATATCCTTTTCCCTTAGCCTAGTCCTTCCGTTTATTGGGCTTTTCTGTGCGCGTGTCGAACGGAAATGCCTCATTTTTGTTCCAAAAGTGTTTTGCATTTTTGTGACTTTTACTTGTTGGTTGCGTTTTCTTTTTTTCTCTGGTTTTTTCTTTTTGTTTTTGGTTTCTGTTAGATTTTTGCCCTTTTTTTGGTTATATATTTTTTTGTGCGATATGCAAATGCGTTGGCTGTTATTTGTGTTTGGGATTTGTTTTAAGCGCCCCTCGCGCGTGCTTTATGTGTTACACTCTTATGTGTATGTATTTGGGTTTTAGTTTAGTTTTGTCATCCTGACATAGGATATGCAATGCGCTGAGCCCCGCTTTTCGGTTTACTTCTGTACAAATTGTTTTGCGTTGGCTTTGGCCCGTTGATTTATGCAATAGAAATGCAAAAAACATGGGTTTTTCTTGTTATTTTTTAATAACTTGTAAAATCAACTAAATCTATTGACATTGTTCTAGCGAATTTCAGATGCATGTCACATGTGTTGGGCATATTAAATTACAAAATTAGCAAACCCATCAGTGAAAGTAAAAGTTTTAGTTGGTTTTTTTCAGATTTATAGTTTTTGAAGTTGAGTAACTTTTACTTCCATTTTAATTAAATTTTAAATCTAACACTGTAAATGCAAATCCAGTTTACTCACCAGAAATTTTGTTATATCATTCAGCTTAGCTGGGAAATCTGTTTCATCAGATTTTACCAACCAGAATTTATGGTCTCTGCAGTCAATTGGCCATCAATCACGTAACCAAAAACCGAACCAAATCCAAGGAATCGAAGCCACCGAAAACTCTTAGAGTTCATTGGCACTGTTAGGGAGAATTGAAACCTCGGTTGAAGGCTTAATGCAGACTCAGCCAGCCAAAATGGTGAAGCCCCTACTGAACCGAGCATCATAAATAAAAGAAATGAAATCATTTCGAGCAATTTGTCTACAATTTTGTGTCACACTTTCTGCGCCATTTCTCACATGCCATAAAAATGCTGCACACACACACACAGAGACAACCAGACACACCACAAGATGTTGGATGGGTGTGCGGGGGGGTAGGACGCTATTGGGTGGAGGGATCCCAGGGTACCACCAACTTGGCCAACACCCGGCAAGGTGTCACGCTGATAAATGGCTCTGCCTTACTTACGCCAACTTCTTCACTTGCCCCATCCATTGGCATTCAGGTGCCCCTTCGGAAAAACCCACATAGTCGTTGGCTTGGCCATTTTGCGTTTATTTTTCACGAAAAACTTTTCATTTCTCGCCCTTTTGCCCGTGTGCCAATTTCAAGAAAGATTTCCTTTAAGTATAATAAAATGCAGTGTCCCTGTCATAAATCTATTCCGCTCGATTGTCACCACGACGGCGACGGCGACGGCGAGGACGACGCGCCACAAAATTGAAATGCATTGACATTGAAAAATTCATAATAAAAAGCCAAATTCGCCTTTGGGGGGACACAGAAATTTTATCACAAAGCGTTTCAAACTTTTTGGCATTTTGCGCAGTGTTAATACGGAAATTAAATATTTTGAATAGCGCGAGTGAAAAAATGAACGAAACAATTTCAAAACATTTTAGTTGACAGCGACCCCGGGATACATACACTCTGACACACAGTCACACATACACGAGGAACATACACAAAAATAAATTCACAAGAGCTGGTCATGTTTGCGCTGCGAAGTATGCTACACATACATCCATTTTCCACGGAAAACAAGCGAAAAAGAGAGTGTTCCAAGGATAACTTTCTCTAAGGATACATTTTCTTATAAGATTTGATTTTTGAGATTTTAAAAACTCACTTTTTGTATGTTTTTTGCTAGAAACGTAGTTTTGAAACCATAATAGGTGCATCTCCATGAAATACTTGCTTTATTAATTAAACAAAGAAATATAAATAAGTAATTTTTTCATTATAGGGGACTCATTAGGTCGTTCCATAAGTTATATGTAAAAGGGACACTTTTTTCGATTTTTAATGAGATTTTTAGCACATTCTGAGATTTTCGTGCTGATAAACTTTTAATTTAATTTAAAATTTCATCCTGAAACCTTTTTATATTATTAAAAAATTCTTCAATTTTTCTTTAGCGATTTCCCTTCTAAGAACATCCTAATTTTAAGTAAAACTTTTTCATGCATATAGTTTTGTTGCCGGCTGACAAAAGCGTTTTTGCGAGTTGGCTTAAAAATTCTAATAACACAAATATTTGCAGATGAAAGAGGTACTAAAAGGCATTTGGCCGCATGCTCCACTTGTCAAATGTTGAAAGGACAAAAGGATGGCAAGAGAGGTTTGGAGGCGGTACAGCAGCCAGACCCAATGACCCATGACCCCGCTTTAACCGGTGGCTCTGCTTCCTACCAATCCCCAACTGGAGTCCCACAGTTTGTCCATCACTCAGTTGGTATTCTATCCTGCAACGTTGGCACACTTTTTGACATCGTCAGAAACTCCAAAAAGCAACAACAAGCCGCAGACGAAGAGGGACAAGTAATGCTAACATAGCAAAACAAAACTGAAAAGAACAAAAAAAAAAAAACAAACAAAAAATAAAAAAAGTATAGAAGCGGATCTAGAGTTTCCTCTTTTTTTTTTGTAATTTTCGTTGCATGTTTCCTGCGTTTTGCACTTTTGCTGAACATTTTTCATCTGCTGGGCAAAACTTTTTGACATGTTGCAGTGCAAATTGAATAAGTCCGCACAGACATTGCCGAATAATGGCTAACGCACACATACAGATAGATACACACACACACACAGACAATTTGTTTGTTTCTTTATATCAACGTGGCCCCAGGTTGAAATAATCAAATTTTGTTGGCTGTAAATCCATCCATCCAGTCAGCCCAACCCACACTATATCACCATCACCTGACAGTTTTTTGATCCAGGACACTTCTCCTACTTCCTTTTGTAATTTAGCCCTGTTAACTTTATTGCCGGACCCCAAAAAATTCGGGTTTTCAAGTTAATTTTTACAGCCATTGTGTGCAATTTCGTCAATCATATATATAGCAGGCCAATGATAAACAGCTTTGCGGCCAATTCACAAAAAAGGTCATCAAGCGTAGAGAGAGAGAGGAACTTGGACTTGGTAAGAGCACCGAAAGAGCTGTAAGCCGATTAGGGGATTGTTGGTAACATAGCAACTAATGCTGTGATGGTACAGCAAATATATTTCTCGAAAATTTTAGATCAGAAATTATGACCCTGTTTTGGCTACATAACAATCATATTCTCAGGTATTTTCCTCTTTCATCAATTTCGATTTTGGTTTTCGATTTTTTTTCTTGCAAATTTTCATTTCAGCAAACTGGGCATTCAATCTTTTGGCCAGGATAGAAGACACCCGCAAATTCAATTCATCGCCACACAAAGTGCATGCGTAGAATGCCCAACGTTTGGCAATAAAAAGAGGTAAGTGCTTTACCCCCCTACCCTATCACACACCCAAACACACACACACACACACACATACTTCTTTTTGGCCAAAAATGCCCCCCGGCCGTTATCCAATTTCTGTTTTGGCCATTGCTAGCCGGGCTCACTTTGTCTTGGCGTTTTCGACACGATTTTTCTTCATTTTCCGAAATCAATCAAATGCAGGCATCCGTTCCGGGTGCTCTTCTTGGTTCTCCTGCCATTTGGGCACCTTCTCCCAACCCCCTTCTATATATAGGTATGGCAAGGAGGAGGCCTGTCAACGACGACACCCCGATTCTTGGACCTCCTGGTCGCCATCCCGCCTGCTTGTTGGACATTCATCAAGCCATTTCATCTATTGACTGATTGATAATATTTTTGATAAATGATTGGCGGCCATGTACCCTCGTTGTCCCAGTTTTCCCTCGGTTCTTCAGCTTCCGGCTGGCTAGCTGTCCAACTCTGTTCCTCGGTTCGTTTGGTTATTTACGGCGTGCAAAGCGAACAGCAGCCAAGGATTTATAGGTGAGAGCGTGCAGACTGCCGCCTGCAATATGCAAATTGATGGATCTTCCAGGCCGGGTCATGTCCATATGCCCCCTCGGGCCGAGAACTAAAAGCCCAGGCTTAAGCTTGTTCCCTGATTGAGATGCTATAGGGATATAGAGATATTTGGTGCCCACCTGCCCACCTGCACATCCCATCACATCGCTCTGTTCAACATCATTTTTCATAACGAGCTAGCTGGGCTAATAAAAATTAATTGATACATCAGCAGGAACAGCTTTAGTTGCCCTCCCCGATCCCGATACCGATTAGAATCAGTTCCAGGAGGGCGCACACACAAAGGTGTTAATGCCAATGCTACTGTGCCAGTGTTATTATTGCTGTTTTGCTGGCTGTTCGGCACGCGCCAATGTTTACACGGCTGATGGCACAGGCGACACAGAACCCGCTCGACCATATGCGACCTGGCCAAGAGCAGGAATCAAAACAATCAGCCAGCAACGGCTGCTAGGAGGAGGAGGTGGAGGTGGTAGAGCAATCGCTATACGATACGCCCACATACGGACACGATGCCACAATAAGCCACACAGGTGAGGCAGGTTAGAATATGGTGGAGGAGAAGGTGGGTGGCCGGCGAAGGGCATTGCAGTTTGGACCTCGTCTGGAACCGGCGCCCAAAGGTAACTAAATTCTTTCGTGCAGAACTCAACGGTGTCTCTGCTTAGCGGCATGTTTACAAAAAAGTATCTGAAAGGTACGTGGGTGAAGTGAGGCACTTCGATTGAGAAGCTAAATGGGAATGAAAGAAAGTTGAAAGGTTGGGTTTCATCCAAATGATTGGTGACTTAATTTAATTATAAGGTTAACTTATATATTTAATCTATTAACTGCTTTCCTCATATTGATTTCCCTTTCAATCCTACATCCCACTAGTATTAGGTTAGGGTATCTCAGATTCATTCTTTCTACTATAAAACCTTCTTCCTGCCACTTAATGTTGCAGTGGCTGGCTTTTTGCTTTTATGGCCCTCATACTTGGTTAAGTTAAGCGCCGCGTGACTTATTTGATTGTTAAACAACATAATCTGTTGCTGCCTGCCTCCGATGCCGCTTCTTTATCTTTAGCCCCATCCGACTGGAGGCCAATTGATTTTCGGTCCAGTGTGGCCAAGAAGTGAGCAAACAGTAGATAGCCATCGATGGATGGGCAGGTGTAAGTGCCTTTTCCCCAGAGGAGCAGGAGGAGTCTGAGGTGACTCCCTCAAAAAGTCAGGAGTAATTCAAACAATTTGCAATAAGGCGCCGTTGTCTTTCAAGCAGCAGGGAAAGTGGAAATGGAACGAGTGCGCGAGGGGAGGCAAACTCAGTGCTCTCGCTGGCCTGCTCGCACCCAGTTTCTTTTGGTAGTAATGAAAATGCAGCGTTGCGGAAAATCGCACCGAAGACACCGGGTAACCAAGTCGCCAAGTGGAAAGTGGAAATTGAAAAGTAACGGACTGCTGGGTTTCTAGGGGCCGGCAGCAGTCGAGCTGCCAGGAATATTGCAAAAGGTATGAAAATTGTTCTCTCAAAATTCATGCATGAATTCAGAATGGGCCGAATGTGGCGGGAGGAAAATCGAATTTTTTTTTTCGGGGACAGGAACGAAGGGGGGTCGCCAGAAGTGGTTTTCATTTTCCGCCTCTCTTTTTTTTCCACCATCTCTCTCTTTTACGGTCATCGATGGCGAGCACTTTCCGGCAGTCAATATTGCGGGGCGGACAATGCCAGTTTAGGTGTTATTGTGTCAATGTCTCGATGGCCCTGCCCCCTTTTCCCGTCTTTTTTTGCCCCAAACTCCAAGCCCTCGAAAGTGGTTTTTGCTGTTGCTGCTACTGCTGCTGCTGCTGCTGCAAACAGAATTGGTAGTTCATACATTTCACAGCAATTTCCATTTGGCCATATTGTCAGACGGGTACGTTTTTTTGTCAAGGTTTTTCCTTGTCGTTTTCAGATTTTTTTACTCATCTTTTTTCTTGCTGTTTTTCGAATGACAACCGTCCAGCAAATCAAAGCTAATTTCATGTAATCAGGCACATTTGTCGCATGTCGTCCGTTGTCAACATTTTGTAGCGTTTCCGGCAATACGACCGAACGAAAAAAAATGATAAAAATTGGCTCATAAAATGCATATAGCAAGAAAACTGAAACTAGTAGTGAATAGGGCCCGAAGCGTGTTTCTTCTTGGCCATGAATTAAACCAAAATGTTACTGTGCCCAATCAGGCTTTGTCGGATGTGCATCATGTGTGCCAATGTCTGGGAGGAGCTGCTTATCCGAGTTTATGGCCACGATTGCCATCTGGGATATGGTATCTTAATTATTCGGACATTGAGGCTGTTTTAAAGGCCATAGGAAATCGGGAATTACTTAGTATTAGTAAGGTTTGCTTGTTTGTGGGATTTATTTTAATAAGATTAATTAAGATAATGCCTTAAATTGGTATAAAAAAGAGTGATGGCTGTCTTGATTGGAAGACTTATAATGAGATTTGAGTATCAGACTTAAACTAATTTAATCATTTAAGGTTCTTTAAAGAGGAATTTCTTACGTAAGAGATTAACATTTGTTAAGTAGTCTCTACACTTCTTCAATGAAATACATTTCCCTTTTATTTTTTTTCTAGAAATAAGAAGTGTGCCCAATCGTGGCAATAAACTTTCAAATCTCTCGAGGCAAGAAATCGTATGTGCAACTCACTTGCCACATTAAAAAGCCACAATGTTGTTGTTCAGATATTGTTGTTGTTGTTGTCGAGCTAGTTTTCTCCCTTTTTTCTTGGAGCGGCCACTAGCAACTTCCTTTAGGCAAATTAAGGAACGCCCCACTGCCACCCCTTTTGGCCAACTCCTGGCAATTGCCCACAATCAAGCTGGTCTTGGGCTAAAAATAAATCTGAGGAAGATAGAATGGTTTGGAAGGCGACTTTTTTATGTACTAACGGAAAGAATCCATATCGGAAAGTCCATATTAGAAACCTAAAATTGCTTGAAAAAGAGAACAATTTGGAAACTTTCAGCTTACTTTTAAAGAACATTTTATTTTAATGGGCTAAAATCATGGGACCAAAGGTTAATACTGATAACAAACATTTTTTATAAAAGCTTAAAAATATTTCATCAAAGCGAAAACTCCCTTAATAAGAGTATAAGTTTTAAGAACTACTTCCAAGACGCAGTAAACTAGTTCCACACGAAGTTAATCAATGGGAAAAGTCAGCAAAAAGGGGGGGGCAGAATGGGGCAAAGGAGGTGCGGTCCTGGCCAACCGGATGCTGGTAATAATATTTAGATTTTTAGCCCTTGATGCAAAACTTTATGCTTGTTTAGATAACATTATCGCCTCGACTGCGCCGACTGTTGCAAACTTGTTTTGCCAGCAAAAAGAAAAAGTAAGTTAGAGGGGGTCGATTCGCTCCTTCAACTGGTCAGCTGCACATAAACTTGGCTAATTTACGATTGCATTGTGCGCATTGGACTCGCTCATATAATTAGAGAAATTAATTTGTGTGCTTTTTTGCCGGTTGCAGGCAACAATGAGGCAAAGACAGTGAGCCAACACAGGAAAGGGAATGGGTAACGAGCATAAAGTTTTTAATTTTCATGATGCAGATAATGCCCATTAAAATATGCCCGGAAAAGAGGGCCAAACGTGATAAAGACCTGGCCCAACACCTGCCGCAGATCCTTCTTCATTCTTTCTTTGGCCAGGACCACGTCGAGGTCCCTTTGGCAGCAGCAGCTATGCCTTCTCAGCCGCAAACTAAGTGCATTAAAAATGGCAAAAGGAAAATAATGCACAGCTCGCACAGGAATATAAAAAAGGCAAACGCTTGCGCTGGCTTGGGAATGGTTTTATTTTTTTTGTATTATTTTTATTATTATGCAACAAACAGAAAAGTTCTCCTTTGGGGCCAGTTGTCCAGACGTCCAACTGCCAACGATGCTTGACGACGACCTTTTGAACTGAGGCGAAACCAAAAACCAGGAGAGTCTCCGTTCAACGGAGTCAACGAACGCAACAGAAATAAGCGGCAAAAACTTGCCACGCCGCTGGCTGTGGCCATTATGCATTATTATTATCCTGCTCCTGCGCTTGCCTTTTGCCACTGCTACTGATTCCCATTCGGATTGTGATTCTGATTCAGATGCCGCTGCATTTTCCTGTCTCTATATATATATATATACATTTTATGCCAGGCATCGCTCGTGCTGAAAATTACTGCTCGAAATCAATTTCATGCGATTGAAGCACTTAATTTTTACCAATTCATTAATTGATTTCGTTGGGCGTTCGTTGCTCCCGTGGCGCCTCGATGTTTGTATATTTTGTTGTTGATTCCTGGGCTCCGCCTTCGTCGGTCTGCTGACCCCTTCTCCACTCTGTTTTTCACCCTTTGAGTTCTTCCCATTTGAGCACTGGTCGGGCAAATTATTGCAAAAAGAGCAACGTCAAGTGCAAACAGCAGAGTTTTCCAGTTGGCTTTTTAATGCTCTTTTTTGTGAGTTTTTAAAGGATTTTCTTTATTAAATTAAAATAATAATTAAATAATTTCAAAGTCTAGAATAATCTTTTGCCCACTAACATTACGATTTTACTTTTGTTTTTCAGATTTTATTTCCAAATATGTCCTTTAAGATGAAATATTTTTTAAAATTTCCATTCAACTTAAAACCCCACCTTAAGCCCCATTAAGAAATCCAATTCGGTCATTAAAAATGGAAAAAAAATAACAAGATATCCTTTTCGAGTGCAAACCATTAAAAATAATTTTCATATCGTTGCTGTTGACGCGTTTAAATGAGCGGCCAACGGCAGGAAAGAGCCAACTTTCCGGTTCACTGAACGCCGCTTGACCAATTTATGGGCTTTAAGAAAGTTTTGCAAAAGTATTAAAATTTTAAAAAATTGTATATATATGCAGTGGCATGTAAGGGAAAGTAAGGGAAAATTTTAAAAAATTTATATAGATGCAGTGGCATGTGAGGGAAAGCTTGGGAAATTATTGCCAGCATTAAAATAATACAAAAATCGAACACGCAGCTTTATTTAATTAATCCGCAATTGGTTGTCCGCTAGGCTTCTTCCTGAATAAATGAAAATTCTATATGGAAGGGTTGTAGGGAGGACAACCGTTTGATGCATTTTTATAACAATATTTCCACCACTCGATTGCTGGCCAAGCCACAAACAACATTTGCGCAAATATTTATTTACATATTTGGAAAAACAAGAAAAGAAAAACCAAACAGGAAAATAACAAAAAACAAGAGGGAAAAAGTAAAAAACCATTTTCAGCGCTTATTTTATTTATTTTTGTTAATTATTCAATCGTTTTGAGCTTTAAAATGCGAACTGCCATTGAAAATTGAAAATTGAAATACAAATAATTAATCATTAATGTCCAAATTGATTACATTAATGTGCATTTAAATGTCTGCTGCTCTATCGAAAATTATGTGCATATAAATGCATGTTTATTCGTTGAATTCCTTGCAAATGTAATCCTGGATAATTGACAATAGACTGGCAATTAATTATTAAGACTTGA